ATCCGTCGCAAAAACAGATAAGGTAATCCAAAATTAATACTCATTTCTTTTGTTATGTTCTTTCTCATTTGAACGCATATAATGGATTACTACCATATCATATGTAGTCCAGTTTTCATGTAGTAATTTGCGTATTGTTGTTGATGATGTGCAATCAAAATATTTATTGTTGGATTAAATAGTGGTCCACTTTAATTGACTCAAGAAGCATAAGAAAAACGTGCATCGTTAACCAACAATTGTCTGCCTCTCGTACACCAATAACCTTTTTTTTTTTATTTTTTTTGTTTGCAACTTTTAGTAGGAAAAAAACGTGTACGAATTTTTCGAACTGAATTTTAACACGAATATTGATATTGGATTTTTGAATATTAATAACTTTTTTCACCATTTATTTTATTTATTTTTGTGATTTATAATTATTTAATATATAATATATATGTTTATTTTAATTACCCATGATAATAATGATGGGTACTTGGTGTTAAATTACAGGATAATCCTACGAACTGATATGTATTTTTTAGTTCTTACAAATAATCTAAAAATAGAAAATTACGCTTTTGAATCAATAGGGCCCTTCTTAGCATAACTTCCTTGGACTGCAAGTGAAGAACTGAAGATAAATTACAACTAAAAAATGGAAAGATTTTAGCCAAGGCGAGTAAAACTCTTTCCACAAGAAGAATACGTCCCGTGTGTTTCTAACAGTTCAGGCGTAACTTCAAAGATACAACGGGAAACGTCTCTAAATCTTTAGCACACCAGATTTACGAGCTCCAGAGAACTAGAACGGAGTCGAGAATTGATCACTTAAAAATAAAAGGAATATCATAAAACAAATAAAAATATCACTTGTTTCTTCTCTTTTGATATTTTTATATCCGATATTTAGACATATATCTATATTTTCTTTCCTTTTTTCTTTTCCTTTCTTTCCTCTCTTTTTCTCTTCTTCGTGCATTTTCATTCTTCTTCCGATCAGCTATTTATAAGATGAAATTTTGGCCAATTGGCCAACAAATTGCCTTCAAACTTTTTTTTTTATTATTATTATTTCACAAGTGGGATCAATTGGGGCGGTGCATGTGGGCGGTGCATGTGGGGCGGCACCGCCCTTTTATTTTATCTTTTTCCTGACAATCCTCCACAAAAGAGAAAATACAGAAATACACATTATAAAAACTCTTGTGCTCAATCCTCACAAATTTTATTGCATCAGTAAAGGTAGCTTTTGGCTTTGAAACTTTCTTAGTAAACGTCATCAGATGCACTGGCGGCCTAGTGGACATAATGCCTTGAACTATTCCTCCATAGTGTACACCGAGACAATGACATTCACACAATAGAGTCTTAACTCCATTTCGTTCTATCGTTGTGTCCGTTTTGGCCATTGACAACACAATGGATTCATAAGTGTTTACAATTGAAGCGACCCACACTTCACACTTATATAGGTGACCTCCCTATCAAGAGTATCATGTCTTACTCCACCTTTACAAGGTTAGGGATTTATTAAAAGTCCATATGACTTACCCTCACCACAATCAACATGTAATCTTGCACTTGGAGTGCTCTAGGGAATAACTTTGACATTTATATGTTCCTAGTGTTCAACAGAATTTTCAAAGCTTAGTTTTCCCTTTGAACCAAGTTCGTGGGATCTCCACTCAGCATGGTAGGGTTACCACTATGATCATTCTTTACATTGTGGATTTTTAAGTCCATTCCCTATAGCAAAACTGCCAATTGATCTCTATTCAATCCTTTCGTCAAAGGATCAACCAAATTTTCCTTATACTTCACATAGTCAATGGAAATAATACCATTTGTGATCAATTGACGTATGTTATTATGTCTACGATGAATATGTCTAGACTTACCGTTATACAAGTTGCTTTGCGCCCTTCCTATAGCAGCTTGGCTATCACAGTGAATCATCACAGGCGGCAAAGTCTTATCCCAACATGGAATGTCGGATAAAAAATTTCTAAGCCATTCAGCTTCTTCACCAGCTTTATCTAAAACGATGAACTCCGATTCCATCGTTGACTGAGCTATACATGTTTGTTTTGTGGATTTCCACGAAACTACACCACCTCCAATACAAAACATATCCGCTAGTTGAGTGAGAATCTCTCGAATATTTTAGCCAGTATTCAAGGCTGTACCTTAAGTACTTAAGTACCTTACTCAAAGCATTCAAGTGTTTATGACTCGGATTGCTCGTAAATCTGCTCAACTTATTCACCGGATAGGCTAAGTCTGGTCGTGTACAATTCGCCAAGTACATCAGACTTCCTATTATCCGTGAATATTCCAACTGAGCCACTGGTCGTTGACCTTTGTTGACTTCCAGATTTATACTGAGATCAAGGGGTGTCTTACACCTAGACTGTGCACCGTCATATGTATCAAATTTCTTGAGCACTTTCTCTACATAATGAGATTATGACAAGACAATTCCATTTTGAGTTCTGATAATCCTTATTCCAAGAATAACATCAGCCAAACCCATATCTTTCATGTCGAAATTTCTCTTCAACATTATTTTCGTATCCATGATCACTTCATGGCTACTCCTCATGATCAACATATCACATACAATCACAAATGTATTTGTTATACTCTTGACATAAACACATTTATCACATTCGTTGATTTTGAAATCATTTGTCTACATCACGTCATCAAATTTCAAATGCCATTGTTTTGGAGCTTGTTTCAGTCCGTACAAGGATTTGATATCAATCTACACACCTTTCTCTCTGTCCAGGTGCGAAAAAACCTTCAGGTTGTTCCATGTATATTTCTTCTTCCAATTCACCATTTAAAAGTGCCGTTTTGACATCCATTTGGTGAATCTCAAGATTGTGCACAACAGCAATCGAGAGAAGCACTCTTATCGACGCTAAACGCATAACAGGTGAATAGGTATCAAAGAAATCATACCCTTCAATTTCTTTAAAGCCTTTGACCACCAATCGTGCTTTAAACTTATCAATCGATCCATCAGCTTTATATTTCCTCTTTAGGATCCATTTGCATCCTAAAGGTTTACAACCATCAGGGAGATCAGCCAACTCCCAAGTATGATTTTTCATAATGGACTCAATTTCGCTATTTACAGCTTCTTCCCAGAGTGGTCCATCTGGGCGGGACAGAGCTTCCTTAAGGGAACTCGGTTCATCGTCCAACATGTACGTAATAAAATCAGGTCCAAACATTTTAGCCGTTTTTACCCTTTTACTACGTCTCGGTTCTTCATTAGTACTCTCTAGTACAAAACCACTAGCAGTTTCATATGTTCGTTTATTAGAACTAGATTCTGCCCTTTCCTTCAAAGGAAAAATATTCTCAAAGAATATAGCATTTCTCGACTCAATCGTGGTACCCACAGATACCTCTGGATTTTTTGATTTATGAACCAGAGATCTATATGTTGTACTATTGTACGCATATCCAATAAATACACAATCGACTGTCTTTGGTCCGATTTTCACTGGTTTAGGTTCATGTACTGAAACCTTAGCCAAACACCCCCACACTTTCAGGTACTTATAAGACGGTTTACGATTTTTCCACATTTCGTAAGGAGTCTCATCTTTTCCTTTAGGTGGTATTTTATTTAGGATATGATTTGCTGTTAAAACAGCTTCCTCCCCACATGTTCTGTGGTAATCCTGAATTTATCAACATGGCATTCATTATTTCTTTTAACGTACGGTTCTTGCGTTCAGCAACACCATTCGACTGTGGCGAATAAGGAGCCGTCGTTTGATGAATTATGCCATATTCAGAACATATTTGTTCAAAAGGAGCTACATACTCTCCCCCTATCACTTCGGATTATTTTAATCTTTTTGCCGAGTTGATTTTCAACTTCGGTTTTATAGAATTTAAATGCTTCCACAACCATGCGTTTGCGGTAATTAATAATTTACTAATAACATATTACAAAAACTAATTAATATGCAAAATATCTTTGCTATGTAGTATTCATGTTGGGCATCGTCAATTGCATAATAAAACTATTAATTCTAGTTTTTTAAAATTCAATATGTTTACTGACAGATAAATATGCATAAAGTAAGAAATAATTAATTTATCTTTAGCATATAACTTATAATTTTAATATACTATTATTTGTAATAAAAATTTTGTAATAAAAATTAACTAAATGAATTATAAAATATTTTTATTCAATAATAAATAAATAATAAATAAATATATTTAAGGAAAATAAGGAAATTTCTAGAGATCAATCAAGTGACATTGATTGAATTGATTTTAGGATTATAAACAACTTGGATTGATCAAGGTGGCCAAGTTATAGGTCTGTTGGGCCAGACCAAATAATTACCAAATTGATTATTGAAACTAAATATATATTTTAATATTAAAATATTTTATTAGATAAGTACAATGTAGTCTAAACCCCAAATAATCGTAATAAAAATGCTTTTATGACAACATGTTAAGTATATATTTAATTTATCATACGATCATAATATTGTTTACATATATACCTTGAACCAAGTCCAGAGAGAGCAAGAGGGTGCAGTATGCCAATATTGAAGAACAATATATATGAAATAAATAAGAAACTGTATATTTTATACCTGTAAGTACTGAAATCTTAATAAAAGAAGATCCTAATAAAAAATATTAAACAAATTTAGAACAATGTGATCTCTGCAGTAGATAAAAACATTGCCAAATGATGTAAACTTACATCAAGACGAACATGGTCACCTACGTTCCATGGGTATGTGCAACCTAACATACTTAATGTCTAACTATACATAATTCTGTAATATATGGCAGCTATACAAACTAGGTATAGATTCTAGCAACTTCAAGAACACATATATATACACATATGTGATTGTGTGTGTGTGTGCACGCGCGCACGTGAGTGTGTTTGAATGTGTGTGTGTGTGTGTGTGTGTGTGTCTATCATACCAATATCTTTTATGTGCAATAGTTTTTTTTCCCATTCATTCCCTTGATGGCATTGCGCTCTTTTTCCAGTCTTGAATAGCAGAAAGCAGAGTATGATTGGGAGTTAGCATCTTATGTGGTAGTTTCTGTTTCGTCACAGGAGATACATTGTGTCGGTCGACCCATGCTTTTATCGCATCATGCTCATACGTGAAACCATCAGCGGCTACATAGGGATTATCCATTATTTCCTGAGTCCAAATGAACAAGCGATTAAAAGGCAGAGTTAAAGGTATCAACCACATTTATTAAAAAAAAAAAAATGTCAAATATTAAGTGAATCATAAGGCGTGTAAACCCGGCGGTGGTCTTTTCAGGTAATTTCGTCAAAACCTCAAGGGAGGATTTCCTAGTTATCCATCACGTCTAAAAATTCAAACTACATACAAAACAGAATCAGTAATATTTCTTTTCACCTGAAGGATTGGGCAGTAATAGTGTTTAGGCGCCCGTCTGTGATCCCTCTCGCTCAAGCCAATAGAACCAGAAAATTCAGCGAGCCTTTTCAAAACCGGCAAAACCCCCGTTTCAAGGTCCGGTCGATCTCTACACCTCAGTTTGCAGCACTCGAGTGCAACCAGTGCTAGTTCTTGTGCTTCGGCTAGTGGCCAATCAGAAATCGACTTATCAAGAACATCCGAAAAGGTACCATTTCTAACAGCATTCTCGAATCTTCCTATAAGCCCCTTGGGATGACGAGCGGCCAATAGCTGCAAAATTATTACTCCCAAAGAGTAGAGATCAGATTTCGGGCGGAGGGTACCCGTCCTGTGGTACTCGGGGTCTATGTAGAAAAGTGTACCGGCCACAACAGAGTCACGATATTCCGTGACGTTGTCAGGGACGACATCGGAAATGATTTTCGCCAGGCCTACGTCCCCGATTTTGCTGACGAGATGCCTGTCGAGTAAAATGTTTCCGGGCTTTAGGTCCCGGTGAACAATGGGTTCGGGCTTTGCATGGTGGAGAAAGGCGAGGCCACAGGCTATTTCGAAGGCAATGCGGAATCTGACGGGCCAGGGGAGAGGAGGTCTGTTGTTTCGTTTAAGGATGTGATCTTCGAGACTTCCGTTCTCCATGTATTCGTACACGATGCAGCCGAGTTCGGGACAGGCCCCGATGAGTAGGACTATGTGGGGATGGCGCAACTGGCTGAGAACTTCTATCTGCATTGCCAATCACAGTCAATGTCAGCAGATAGTAAATTTGAAATAATTTAGATATGAGCATATATATTAATATCGGGGACAAGTACAGGAGGTTCTGTTGAGTTTGACTCTATTACGAGAAAACCCAGCTAACTTCTCATGTAGTCGTACCTTTTCAAACTACAGCCCTCAGGTTTTCCAACTTTTATAAATACTCAAATGTCTGTATATTCTGCATATTTTACCATGCAGAGAAAAGTTTGAATAAATTATATGTAAGACATATGGAGGGATTTAATTGTAATGCATGGGGATGAGATCAATAAATTGATGAATTTGGCGCAAAATGAGACATAATCAAATATCAATGGTGGTTTTTCTCCAAATTTTCAGAGTTAGCAGGATATATTTTTGATTATAAGTTACCTCAAACCTCAAGGATAGTTTTCATAATTATCCCTAGTAACTTATAACTAATTTTAGTATTTCCCGACTATGGGTGTAGCAAGTAGTCAATACTTCTTTTTCTCCCTACCATTCTTATGAAAACATGTTTATCCAAAACTGCTGGAATCTCGAACCCTAAAGTACTATGTTATCCAATAATTGAGTTGTTGCGACAACCAACAGTTTGTGCAAGGTTATACCCATAAAAAATGCAAGCTGAAATTTCAAGTTAAATCCACTGTAACTAATGACTGATCTAAATCGTCTATAGCATGTGTCAGTCATTTGCAGGCTCCACAAGACGATTATTATTTTTCTGTAAAAATAGAATCAGTGAAAGTCAAACCTCTTTCAGAAATTCCTCCTTGCCAGCGGACGTATCAGGACGAAGAACTTTCACGGCGACTAAGGTGTGATCAAGGCTGCACTTGTAAACTTTACCATATCCTCCTTCACCAATCATAATATCCTCCGCAAAAAAGCCAGTCGCCATGTGTATATCATCTCTTGTGTACCTTCGGTACCTCTGATCGCTAGATAATAATGCATCAGCAATTCTCTTCTTTTCGAGCGACTCTTGACGGGCTTTCAGTTCAGCCATCTGCCTTTCATATGTCTCTTTCGCTAGAAGTGCTTTTGCAGTCTCAACCTCCTTCTCGGCTTCCAGGTATTTCTCTTTCTCCAGAGCAGCAATTTTCCTTAGATCCTGCTCCCTTTTCCGTGCAGCAGTTGCCCTCTGTGCTTCTTGAGTGCATTCAGAAGAAAGCAACAGGACCTGAAACATAAAAGCACCATCTTAGTTTCCTTTGTTGGGAAAGAATTCATAATTACTCATATTCACAAATATCCAATGTCATATCTGACCACTCATTACAACTGAATTCAAAACCGTCAGGTACGCTAGGATCGATGTTAATTGATAAAATACTCTTTACATGGAAACATGCAAATGTAAGCCAATCTTAATTAACAATCTAAAAGAGAGCAGGCAATAACTTTTTATTATCGCATTTGAATAGGTGAAATTTAGTCAAAGACCTTAGTACAATGCAATCTTTAGAAGCTTTTTTCAGTCATAGAAATGCAAACCCCTAATCGTGTTAGTGCGCTTTGTTATTACATAGAATGTCTTTTTTTTTTGTTCACTGCCTCAACTTTGTCGACCCTCAATGGATACCGACCAATTTCTTTTCCGTCAATACGCCCTGAAATTTGAAGTCCAAATGATCGGAGACCGGTCAAGCCCGTACCTTGTTTTGTGCACGGACCAAGTCTTGGCGAGCTCGATTATACATGGTTAGGGTGTTCTCCAGCTCTAGACGCAGTTGGTCTATTTCAGCCTGAATTTCTGACTGAAAATCAAACGTAAGTTATACTTCTCGTTAGGTGAAAATTTAATTAAAATTGAACTGTGGCCTTCCCAAGTTACAATATGGAAGCTAAAGTAACTTTTCTGGATCAAAATACCTTCTGGCGAAACTAGTATATACTATAGAAATTACAAGGTAATTACCTGCTCTGAGCAGGACGAAGAAATGGATGAAAATCTTTTGCTCCTGGGTATATCTGAGAATCTATCTTCGGAGGCTTGAGTGGGGTTTTCTTGAAGATCACATGAATACAAAGAAGAGAAACTAGACGTTGATGCATGAGACTTCGGTTGATTAGCGCCTGAGAGGCAGTCATGGTATATGGAGTCTGCAGGTGAGGAAGAAAGCGCGGATGTTTGTCTACTACATCCACGAGAACCGATATCTGTACCTGGTAAATTGCAAATGATACTAGGTTAAGGCACGAAAGATGGCTAAATGGTTATGGAACCTAATAACTGACATACCAGTTCTTAACATAGGGTTCGATGAATTAGACACAAGCTTATCAATAGAGATCACATAGACGTTGCATGTATCAGGAGCATGTTTGAGAATAACTGATGGCACCTCATAATTGGGTTTCCTAGAAATAAGATAATGAATCATCAATACCATAAACCCTGCGAACAATCAAATGCTAACATTTACCATTATAGTACCAATCTACCAGAAACATATTTCTAACTGAACCTTCAACCTGGAGAATATCAGGTAAAGATTATTTCCTTCTAAACTCTGGAACTTGGTATTAATTGTAAATGAATCTAATAAAGTATACAATTATTATGATACCTCTCCAATCATAGTCAAACATTAGGTTTCATGGCAAACAATATAATCTTTCAGTGTAATTTTGCATTGAAAATAAGTTTTGAAAGGCATAAGGAATATTAACCAAGAACATAAGGCTGACTTTACCTAGCAAAGTAATTGGACGAGCAAGAACCCAGCACCAAACTTGAAATTCTTGAGTCGGATATATACCTTAGAAGAGCATAGGCAGGATTGTCTCCTTCCAGTAACAGCGTCTCCATCTATAGCAGTATACATATTTTAAGATCAAACAATATAAGGGAAATACTAGCTGAAATATAGGCTGGAAGGGAACAACACCTTTTCTGTACTATATATATGCTTAAAAGTCAAAAGATCTTCTTCACATTTTTGCATCGTATCTCGAACATACATTTCCGCTACACTTGCATCAAGCTCCTTGAGGGAGATGCTACCACCTGCTGTTAAATGCATTACTGGATACATTAACTCATTTGACAAGCTAAATACTGATATAATAGTGAAGTAGAGATTCATCTTAGGTGAGAAATCTCAACATTATAGAAAAATAAGCAAGTCAACAAAAGAAAGCCAAATTAAGTTCAACACTAAAGATTAAAAAATTTCGGGAAACTAATTAACAAATGCAAAACTAGAGATGAAGGAAATAAGCAACACATAAAAGGGCATCAGGTATCAAACTGTCGGCTTTCTAACAATGTTAATCATATAATTTATAAAGAAAAAAACTACAATTAGGAAGAACCAGAATGCTAAACTGAATCAACCATACTTCAAAACAGCATCGTCCAAATTCACAGTACTAAACTTTCACTAGAATTTGCGAAGCCAAGAGACAGCAGAGTTATAATTCTAAAGTTTTCAACTTGGATCTAAATCTATTCTTAAGTTTTTAGTTTCTGTTGCACGCAATACGATGCTACGGCCTCCCGAAGACTTGTTTCAAACCCCTGAGAGAAAATATCCGTGATCATTGATTCCATGTCTACAATGAGAGCCAAGAACCGACATTTTCACTGCATCTTGTAAAAATCATAAAAAGATTGAACTCATCCATCGACCATTTGACTAGTAGCTATTCCATTAAATTTTACCCTATTGTCGGACTAAGTTACATCAAATAATCAAGCTCAAGCACACACACCATATACACACACACACACACCAACACGGAGAGACAGAGAGAGCATGAAGACAACGGAAAATGGAGACCAAATGCGAATTAGCACTATACCATACAGCAGAAAGAAAAATTACTCGAGTTGGCCAAATTCATCAACCCTAGAAAAGCTTAGACACATTCAACGGTTCCGATTAATGCAACAACAAAGGCGTGTGCGGTGTCCATTGATAAATTCGAGGTTAGTGGGTGACGGCAGGGTATTGGGAAAAAAGGATAACTTACACGGAGTGGGAACGGAAGTGATGACGGGCATGACATGAACCAGAACAAGGCGATCGACTTTGTCGATCAGGTTCTCGACCGCCCACCTCACCGCCCGCCGGCTGCCTCTACCGTCGGCGCTCTTCACCGCCACCGCCACCGTCTCCACGGCGCCGCCGCTGGTACTCATTTCGCCGATAAAGAAATTGTTGGATAACAGCCAAATGTTGACTGGTGACAGTTTTGACTGGCGTGGAATTTGAACAGCCGATGAGTGATTTTATGGACGGCGGAGATTTAATCTGGAACGTGGTTGGCGGGTGAGTTTATATAAATTGTCTGCTTTGCCCTTTGACTGGTCTCTGCGCAACGAAGGGTAGAATTGGCAATTGCATGCGCGGCCCGCGTGCTAGTCCAATTCATAATCTATATTTATCTATATTTATTTATATATTTAGTCCGCGCCATGTAAGGTAAGTGTTAATACCACTAAATGGCCATATAAATTTACAAAACACAAATTTTGGTCATGTTTTATAAAAAATATTTTTTTTTTTGGTATATATTTTTACTACATTACCCCTAAATCAATTGTACCATTACATTAATTTTCTTTTCCCCCAATTCAATTCATTTCATCTTCCAAAAAATCTATTCCCCGCTCGTCCGAAAATTCCATCTTCAATCTTCACCGCGAACCTCTTTCGACTGTGCACCGTCCGAACACCTCACCATTTCAACCTTGTCCGAACACCGTCCGAACGACCTCGACCCGACCTCACGACCTCGACCTCGCCTTCACTCTTCACGACCGAATACCGTTCGGGAAGTTCCACATCCGCCCTTCACTCTTCACGACCTCGCCTTCACGACTCTTCACGACCTCGCCGGAATCTGAAATCAGGTAGCGAAAGTAACGACCTCCCCTTGTGGTTCGAATTAGGGGTTTTTTTTTTGTTTCAACCGA